TGGTAGTTTATAGCGTTCCACACATACATCCTTATCTCTCTAACAGTAAAAGTTCAACTAAATGATTTTATGTAAGTATCCAATAGATTCCAGACTTGCCACATACTTTCCAGACTCAATCTTGTATCTTGCACATATACCTTTACCTTAGAACTGCTTACAAAGTCTCAAAATCCTCCTAATGTACCCTATATTCTCAAGCTTTCAAAATTCCTCAAATCTTTTCCCATTGCCTGAACTACCCTTCTTCTCTTCTATCTTCATCCTTTAGGTCTCAGTTCAAATGTCTCTCTGGCCTTTTCCAGGCAAAATTCCCACAACACTCAACACCCTACTCTTTTTGTTGTTCATTTTTGCAGTACTGGAGTTTGAACTCACGGCTGTGCTTGCTAGGCAGGCATTCTACTGCTGTTAAAAACAACCTATAGGTATTTATTAGCACTGGTCGTTTTTGAGATAAGAGTCTTGCTTCCTCCTATCCAGGAGCACCTATGAGCTGGGACTACCAAACAGGCTTCCTATTGTAGCTAGGATAAAGGGTAAATCTGGTCACTGTATTCAGTTATGAACTGAGAAGAGGTCTCATGAATTTTCTGCCCAGAAAAGCCTCAAACTACTATCTTCCCAAGTAGCTAGGATTTCATGTGTGAGCCATATGAGTCCAGCTACAATAATTTTATTTCTATTGTAGGATCTGTCATACTGTTTTAAAATTATGTTTAGGAGTCTGCTTAACTGGACAATAAGGTCCTAGGGTACTGTCACTCTTCTATGTTTATATTCCCAGCATATATATCAATTGTACTACCACAAAGTTATCCCTGGGGCTGGGAAGGTGGCTCAGTGGTAGAGTGCTTGCCTTGCATGCATTTGGCCCTACATTCCATTCCTCAGCACCACATAAGTAGAAAAAGGTGGAAGTGGCGCTGTGGCTCAAGTGATAGAGTGCTAGCCTTGAGCTGAAGAGCTGAGGGACAGTGCCCAGGCCCAGAGTTCAGGCCCCACAACAGACAAAAACAAACAAACAAACAAAAATACACAAAGTTATCCCTAAATAAATTCTTACTGGATGAACTACAGTACATTAAGTTTCCAATAGTTACAGCTGAAGCTGGAGAAAATGAGTGCCTAAATCCGTTTTGCCAGAGGAAGTGATCAGTTTCTCTCATCCTGTATTGAACAGAATAAAAATACAGTAAGCCCCATCAAAAGATGAAGCTGGGAATATTGCTCAGTAGTAGAGCAGTTACTTAACATGTGCAAGACCCTAGATTCCATCTCCATCCCTGGGGAGTGGATAGAGGGACTTAAAAATTGTGAGAAAAAAAAATAAAACAAAAGCATTATTCTATCCCCAGAACTGGTAAAGTTTGATAAAGATCCAGGCTAAAGAAAGGCTTACCTGGGGCTGGGAAGGTGGCTCAGTGGTAGAGCACTTGCCTTGCATGCATGAGGCCCTGGGTTCAATTCCTCAGCACCACATAAGAAAAAAGAAAAAAGCCAGAAGTGGCGCTGTGGCTCAGGTGGTGCGCTAGCCTTGAGCTGAAGAGCTGAGGGATAGCACCCAGGCCCAGAGTTCAGGCCCCATGACCGAACCCCCCCCCCCAAAAAAAAAAAAAGAAAAAAAAGAAAGGTTTACCTGAATCTATTCAGTTCATAACAATCCAGCAATCCTAATTCAATTTTGAGATTATCCTAGAATCAATTCTCAGTGTAAACTGACTTCAGAGCAAGGTCAATTTGGTTTATGGGTGTGTGTGTGTGTGTGTGTGTGTGTGTGTGTGTGTGTGTGTGTGTGCGTGTGTGTGTGTGTGTGTGCGTGTGTGTGTGTGTGTAAAGGGGCTTGAATGCAGGGCCTGGACACTGTCCCTGAGCCTCTTTGCCATATCTCCACTTTTGGCTTTTTTTTGAGTAGCTTATTGGAGATGAGTCTCACTGATTTCCCTGCCCAGGCTAGCTTCAAACCATGATTCTCAGATATTGGCCTCCAGAGTAGCTAGAATTAGAGGTGTGAGCCACTACTGCCAGCCTTTGTTTAGTTTTGACTTCTCAGGGATATCCTAGAATAGATCAGTAATCACTGAGCCAGACTAGGGTTCAAGTAATTTTAAGAACAAAGAATAAAGTAACTTGCTTTTTAACTACTTTGCTTAAAATGCTATAAACCAATTCATAAATTCATCCAAGATGTGGCTCTAAGCTATTAGCAGCAAATCATTAAATGTACCCTCATATCCTTCAGAATCCTAAATGTACTAAAACAATGGCCAAATATATAGAACTCATTGCCAAAATTTAATGTAACTCTTGCTTTTTCATTGGTTGTCATTTCTTTTTTTTTCTTTTTTTTGGGGGGAGGGGTCCGGTCGTGGGCCTGAACTCTGGGCTTGGGCGCTGTCCCTCAGCTCTTCAGCTCAAGGCTAACGCTCTACCACTTGAGCCACAGCACCACTTCTGGCTTTTTCTTTTTTTTTTCTGCTTATGTGGTGCTGAGGAATCGAACCCAGGACCTCATGCATGCAAGGCAAGCACTCTACCACTGAGCCTGTCATTTTATTTTCAAGATGGTACAACATTTATCTGCAAGCAAACAACAGAAGACTAAGAAAAAAAATTCTAAACATCCATTAGTGAGAAATATGATACCACCTTCCTCGAGCAAGCTATTTTATAGAATATATATATATATATATATATACATATATATATATATATATATATCTGAAAAACTAAGACAAGGAGGCAGAAAAAGTACACCTACTAAAGGAAATACACACACACACACACACACACACACACACACACAAGAAAAGGAACATTCTGTCTAGGCTAGGAGCTTCCAAGAATCCTAGTATGGGACCTCTCTAGATTTAAACCCTAGATTTAAAAATACCAAGTCGCCAGGTGTTGGTGGCTCATGTTACTCAAGAGGCTGAGATCTGAGAATCATGGTTCAAAACCAGCCCAAGCAGGAAAGTCCATGAGACTTATCTCTAATAAACTACTCAGAAAAAAGCTGGAAGTGGCGCTGTGGCTCAAGTAGTAGAGTGTTAGCCTTAAGCAAAAGAAGCTCAGGGACAACTCCCAGGCCCAGAGTTCAAGCCCCAGGACTGGCAAGAATAAAATAAAATAAAAGTATCAAGTAATAGGGTGGTGGTTGTTATTTAAAAGGAACTTAATTCCATAACGCCACTCACTGAAATTACTCTAGCTTGAATAGACTGGATAAATTCTGTGGGATTTTAAATTTATTACATCTAATGTATTCCAATTATTATTCTGCATTTATCTCAGTCATGGGATTTCATATCCAAGAATTTTCAGTATATAATGTTCAATTGCTTCTCTTCCATGTCTGCCTAAAGGTAATCTTGTTTAGAGAAGATCTCACTATATAGTCCAGCCTAGACTGCCATTAAAGATTCTCTTCAGCCTCCAAATGCTGGGATTTACAGCCCCCGTCCAATAAGCCTTTATGCTGAGCTTTGAATGATGTGTTTAAAACTAACTAATGATGTGTTGGGGGTTTGGTTTTGTTTTGCTTTTTTCCTTTTGAAAATGACGTACCGAAAGGCTTCGGGTACAGTTCAGTGGGAGAGCTCACAACAGGTCCAAGACCCTGGGTTTGATGAGGTTTCTGGGGAATGTAGAGAAAGGAAGTTGCTACTCTTGCAGGCTTGTTTTAGCAACTTAAGCTTTCACTTTTTTTCCTTCCTGTAGCAAAAGTGAAGTTCAGTGGAAAAAGTCAAAAAGCCAAAAATTTGGCATTCTGACTCCACCACTTACTGCCAGCTGTGTGATCTAGAACCAATTACTTAAAAGCCTGGAGCCTCAGATTCTAAAACTGTAAAAATATTAAATGGAGATAATAAATGCTTAGCTTGAAGAGCTAATAAGAGCAAAACAAATTAAGAGGCACACTCTAGAATAAAAGTTCCTGTGAAACAGTGTCTCATCACCGTTAATTCTTGCTGTATGGAAATATAGCAGGACTCAATAATACTTTTTAAGTGAAGTAATAAGTATGTGTCCCTAATTCTCTCATCAACACTAACTATTCTTCCATAATTGCATTTTTTCCCCTCTTCTATCACTTTCTAAAGCCCTTGGGGCACTCTATTTTCTCCTTTGAAGCGCTTCCCTTATTCTCATTGGCTATTATTAATTATTCACCATTCCAAAAAAGTACCTTTGGAAGTTATTTCTCTAATGCCACCCACCTTCCATCTCTAATGCAATGGGGGTGGAGGGTGTAATCAGAACATAAGATTCACAGCAATTCATCTACTTGCCCGCAGCCACTGGTTCGTATTCCTGACCGTGATACCCTGAAATCAGCCCTCCCCGGGACACAACTTTAAGGGGGACACGTCAGGATCCCTCCACCTCTCGGCTGACAGAAGACTCGTGCAAGGGAAATCCTCTGCTCTCCAAAGTTAAGGCGTCGGTGACACTCGCCTCCCGCGGAAAAGAGGAGTGCAACCCCAGAATAAGACATCCATCCTGGCCAGACAGATGGGTGTCGCCCGAGGGTCACCTTTGGACCTGGCCAAGCTCGTTCGGCCAGGTAACACAGCTCTTCACTCCCCTGAGGGAAGCTGAGAGGTGCGGTCCTTCACGGAGCCCGAGGGGACAGTGCAAAGTCCGTGGCAATGTGGGGATGGCCGCAGGCATGGCCGGACCCTTTAAAACCTGACTACCATCACCTACTCACACCCGCGCCGGGTCCCAGCAAAGCATAATACCCCACCCCGAAAATAAGCAGCTGCCCCCACCCCATAAATCAGCCAGCCACTGCCTGCTCATTGGCTGTCCCTGCAACACCTTCACCCTCATTGGCTATCCGGAGCGTATGACCCTCCCCAGCACGGGAGCCCTCTCGTACGGCGGCGCCCCCAGCCAAGCCACACAACCCGGCTTTCCAAAGCCCCCCGCCCCGCCGCTCCCCTCAAAGAGCGTAGTCCCAGATGCGCTCGGAGCCGGGCCCACTGACGACTCACCGTGTAGTAGGAAAGCAGCCCTGCATTGTAGTCCAACACGAACCAACGGTACTGCCAGCCCTTCATCACGTTAGTCCATTTGCTCAGCGGCCCTTCCACGATGGACGCCATCTTGGGAGCCGCCAATGACAACAAACGGCCTGACGTCACTCGCCTATAAGGCATTCAGCATGCGGGGGCGGAGCCTCCGCGGGGCGGGGCGGGGCCTCTGCGCCCGGGGCGGGGGAGGAGGCGTGGCCAGTAGCAGCTCTCGGAGTCGGCCCGGGAGCCACGCCCCCAGCAATCATAGTCACACAAGCTTTATCTCCGAGGCTATTGTGTGTTCGGTGTGTAGGATGGGGTACGCGGAACGGTGGCGAGAGTGTGAGCGTGATAACTGCTATTAAGGTTACTTATTCACATGAGGAGTTTTACGTCCGAAAGACTTCACATCTGATACTCATCAATGCATCCATTCCACAAGCCACTCGTTTAATAGACATTTGCTGTTTTGCACTAGGCACTCTGAGGTTGAAGGAAGGCGAGGAAAGCGTGAACAGACAATAAAATAGATCGCAGATGAGACAGAGTGTTTAGAATTGGTAAGACAATACAAAAAAAATTGGTAAGGGCTGCGGAGGAAATTTAAGGAAAAGAGTTGGACCTCTTTTAAATATTTGAAATACCATTTTAAATACGTTTTGAAAAACTAAAAACCTGAAGAAAATGAAATAGAGGCTTGGGGCGAGAACCTTCAAGAGGGAAGGATTACCAAGTACAAAGACTGGATGTTAGGAGTTAGCGAACTGAAGAAACAGCAAGAGATCAATGTGAGTGGAGTTAAGCTATGAAGAACGTAGTAGGAGACAAGACAAGATTACTAATTAAAAATTTAAGTATTTGTGGACAACATACATTATTATTCAAGGTCCAGAGAATATAATAACAGATGAGCACCAAGAGGTTAAATTCTGTGATGAATATAAGTAGTAAACAAGAAAGCTATCCAATAACATTTTGCAGATAAATAAGCTGAAGGAAGTCAAAGAGTAAGTGCTTTGTTAGGTGGTCAAATCAGGCCTTTATGTAGCATTTAAACTGTGATCTGAAGAATGAGTATAAGCTGTGCAAATACAGGAAAAAGCTAAAAAGGGAACCCAGATATGGAGCATTATCTAAACCTGGAGAATTAGAGGAGGGATTTTCTTTGCCTTTTACTTTTTTTTTTAGATTGATGATTTTAGAGAAAATTATTTTGCTAATTTTCAGACATGGGAAAAACTGGTGACATCCCAGACAAAGGAAAGAACAACTCTGGATCCCTCAATAAGACTGAGATCCCAAACCCAAGGGAAAGGTTTGACCTTAGACAGGAGCAGAGATACGCCATACTAACAAGAAGGAGAAGGGGGATTGTGGATTAGGTGCCAGTAGGTCAGTAGTTAAGATGATTTAAAAACAAACAAAAAACAATGAGCTTCTTCTATCTCTTAGGTGAAAGGAGGCACAAAAAACTTAGTAATTAAGTATATTAGTTAAGTGAGTTCTGGTGTCACAGCACACTCCTGAACTGCCAGCAATGTTTTCATCCAACAACAGCCAAATATATGTTGGTAGTCACTAAGATTGAAACAAACCTGAGCTGGAAAATTCTATTGCCTAAATGATGTTATAGCCATCATAATATCATAGCACACTGTAAGACTTATGTGTTTGTGATGATACTGGTGTAAAAATAATCTATGCTGGCTACTATATGAAAGTATAGAACAGGGGCTGGGAAGGTGGTTCAGTGGTAGAATGCTTGCTTTGCATGCATGAGGCCCTGGATTTGATTCCCTCAGCACCACATAAGAAAAAAAAGCCGGAAGTGGCACTGTGGTCAAGTGGTAGAGCGCTAGCCTTGAGCTGAAGAGTTGAGGGACAGTGCCCAGGCCAAGTTCAGGCCCTACAACCAACACACACACACAAATAAAAGTATAGAACATAAAGCTGGCACCAGTGGCTCACATCTGTAATTTCAGCTACTCAGAAGGCTGAGATCTGAAGCCAACCCAGGCTGGAGACTACATCACACACACACACACACACACACACACACACACACACACACACACACACAGAGGAAGTGGAGCTGTAACTCAGTGGTAGAGCGCTAGCCTTGAGCATAAAAGCTCAAGGACAGTGCCCCCGTCCTGAGCTCAAGCCCCAGGACCAGCACCAAAAAAAAACAAACAAAAAAAAAACACACACACACATAAAATTATGTATAACACATAATACTAGATAATGATAATAAACAACTTTGTTACTTTATAATATTTTTATTATTTCAACATGTACTCCTACTTGTTAAGAAAAAAAGAATGAATTGTAAAATAGCTTCAGGTGATATTTAAATAAAAGACATTGCTATCAAAGGAGATGATAGGGGCTGGGAAGGTGGCTCAGTGGTAGAGCGCTTGCCTTGCATGCCAGAGGCCCTGGGTTCGATTCCTCAGCACCACATAAGCAAATAGAAAAAAGCCGGAAGTGGCACTGTGGCTCAACTGGTAGGGCACTAGCCTTGAGCTGAAGAGCTGAGGGACATTGCCCAGGCCCAGAGTTCAAGTCCCACGACCAGAAAAAATAAAGAAAACCACAACAAAACTGAAGACACAAACATACATATTAGTCTAGGCCTACACTGTATCAGAATGATCAATATCACTATCTTCCACTTATACATCTTGTCCTACATGAAAGTCATCAGGGAATATCATACGTGGATAGAGCTATCATCTCCTTTGTTTTTTTTTTTTGGTCCGGTTTTCTAGTGGTTTATTGGAGATAAGAGTCTCACGGACTTTCTTACCTGGGCTGGGTTTGAACTGTGATCCTCAGATCTCAGCCTCCTGAGTAGCTAGGTTTGCAGGCTTGAGCCACCAGCGCCCAGCTAATAAATAACTTTATTTATTTATTTATTTTTTTGGTCAGTCGTGGAGCTTGAACTCTAGGCCTGGTCACTGTCCCTGAGCTCTTCAGCTCAAGGCTAGCGCTCTACCACTTGAGGCACAGAGCCATTTCTGGCCTTTTCTGTTTATGTGTTGATGAGGAATCAAGCCCAGGGCCTCATGCATGCAAAGCAAGCACTCTAACGCTGTGCCACCATCCTGGCCCCTGAGTCTTCAGTTTTTAAAGATTTTATTTCTACTTAAGTAGCTGTACACAGAAGTTACCATTCAACAAATGTCTCTCCAGTCTTAACATAAAGTTTTAAAAGGAAATATATGTCATTTTTAAAGTATAATGTGTGCCAAACCATCTATGTATGTATACTTGTATAAAGACATAATAATGAAATGGCCTAATGACCCATTTCTCAGAAAGCATGTCTATTTCTAAGGAGTACTTGCCTATACTTGGGTTTCAATCCCCAGCTCCATCACTTAGTAGCTAGATAGGCAAAATTTCCACATTCTCTGTGCCTTAGTTTTCCCAGAGATTCACTTATTTAAAATGTGAATAACAATAGTAACTATCTCCCAAGGTTATTTTGAGGATGAAATGAGTTCATACAGGTAATGAGCTTAGCTTGGTGGATAATAATAAATACTATATAACCATAGGCACAAAACATGAATACAATTGAGGTGTAATACAAAGCTGTTCTCTTCCTTTTTAGATATTTTTTCTCATTAGTTGGTTGAGTGTTTACTTTGTGCCAGAATACCTTATTACCTTTAGTCATCCTTATAGTTCTATCAGTGAGTTTGTTTCCACATTTTACAAACAAGGGAATGGAGAGTCAAAGAAATTAACCAATTTACCTAGCTAGCTAGTAGTATTTATTGGTGAGTATCTGAGTCCACATCTCTCTTTTCCTTCTCCAAATCGCCTCCTGTAAAACACAAGATGCACTTCTCATGGAAACTTGTACTCCAAATGCTTACAAGCAGAAATACTCTTGTTGCTGATGACTTTTGGAGTAAGCAAAATATGGGTACTTTCAAATATCATGACTCAGATTAAAAGAAGGCATTTACATAATATTAATTATCTCCATTAGCCTCTTAAGAACAGGAACCAAGTCTTATTCAGTGTATGTGTGTGTGTGTGTGTGTGTGTGTGTGTGTGTGTGTGTGCACGTGCACGCTACTGTTGAGGCTCAAACCCAAGGCCTTATGCATACCAAGTGAACCCTGTACTGTGAGCTATATCCCTAGTCCTCTTATTCATTTTTGTAGCCCTCAAAAGAAGCTCAGCGCCCAACATACAAAAAGTGCTTAAGAATTGTTGCTCTGTCTGAATTATGTGTCCCTTTAGTGTTGAACTAAACACTGTCATTTATATTTTATCCTTTAATCCTCACTACAAAATTTATATTATAGTACCACCCATCCTATAGATTAAATCCTTGGGCTACTGGGTTATTGAATAGGTTGTTATGGTGACACAATCAGTAAGCAGCAAAGCTTGAATTAGAATCTAGGTCTTTTTTTGTTATATTCATTTCACCCTGCTACAAGCTATATTTGCATTGTCTGTGTGTCAATAAACATCATGGACATGATATAGACAACAACGGCAACTTGTAAATCAGTTTTAACTTTCATCAGGGTCACCAGGCATCAGAAAGCTTAGCTTCAACTGTCAAAACACAGGTCAATGGAAGTGGCGCTGTGGCTCAAGTGGTAGAGCACTTGCCTTGAGCTGAAGAGCACACGGACAGCGTCCAAGCCCAGAATTCAAGCCCCACGCCCGACCAAAACCAAAACAAAAACAGGTCCAAAGGAAGAGCCAGGAGCAAGGGCAGTTTGTTTTGATTTTCTGTTTTTGGTTTTTTCAGTCCTGGGGCTTGAACTCAGAGCCTGAGCACTGTCCCTGAGCTTCTTTGGCTCAAGGCTAGCACTCTATCACTTGAGTAACAGTGCCACTTACAGCTTTTTCTGTTTATGTGGTACTGAGGAATGGAACCCAGGGCTTCATGCATGCTAGGCAAGCACTCTACCACTAAGCCACATTCCCAGCCCAGCAAGGGCAGTTCATGACTCCTAAGATCATATCCAATTCCACTGCCCTTAATCTACATTCTACACAAAGTGTCAATCTGCATGCTTTAGATCATCAGCTAAAATTAAACCTGGTGGTGCCACATTGGCTCTCATTCCTACATTTCTTAGTGACTAGCCTTGCATAGAATGAAGTG